TTGGTAGATGAAATAGGCATCCACCTACAATGATTTGAGTGACGCAGAATATACACTTTTCACCCCAGCTGATTTCTTCTGTCAGCTTCCTGAATCCCTGAAAGTCTTAAGATTCTTTTGAGTTAAGCCTTAATGATAAAGTTACTGTTGTAAGAAGGCCTTCTTAAAATGATATAGTGGAAAGGGTGTGGAATTGGGAGTCAGAGGACCTGGGTTTGAATCCTTGCTCTGATTTTTGTTAGGTAATAAAAATGCGTCCAAGTCCCAGGCACTGTGTAAGCACTTAAAACCCAAACCAAAAAAAACAATCCCTATCTTCAAGGAACTTACATTCTAATGAGTAAAAACAAAACAAAACAAAACAAAATAGAAACAAAAAACCAGGATCTGAAAAGGGTGGGGGTGATACTCAAGCCCAGGCATGAAGGAAAATGAAGGTTGGTCAGCCTGGACCAGCCCCAAAATGGAGACCTGGGGAAGAACTCACCGATGGGAGAAGAGGGCCAGCAAGGTGGAGGGATGCATCTGGGTGAGATGGACTTTCTAAGTGGAAGAGGCCCTAGGGGTGGAGGGATGATCCTGGGTGAGATGGTAGCAGCAGAATGGTCAGTGCCTGGAGGGCTCCTGACTGGCCCACTAGCTTGGGTGACCTGGGGCAATTCACGTTACTTCTTACTTGGTTTCCAGACCTCGTGAAGCCTAGGGGCTGGCCCTGCTCCCTTTTAGTCCTCAATCTATAATGCCATGTAAATCCAAATACAATGAAGCCTTGGGAAGAGATAAGATAAATGGTCACCAGGCCTGCATTTAAATACTTGTGCTGACCTTGACCTCGGGCAAGTCTTGATCTGTCTGAACCTGTTTTCCAACCTGAAGATAGGGGATAATAATATATGTTCTTTTCTTTGCTAACCTCACAACTGTCTCTGCAGGTGCCAGAGCCCTCATTTCCTGCTGTTATGAAGGCCCAACCGATCCCCTAATAGGAAAAGTGGCAGTCAAAGTGGCAAGGTGTGTTGTACTGCCAACAGGAGTGGGCTAGATTTCTAGTGAATCTGTAACGTGATGAGGGTGAGAGTGATACTGATACACAAAAAAAGGAACCTTGAGAAGATCTGGGTGGACTAAGCAGTGGTTAATAGCCTGGGATGGCCCAGGTGCACAGTGAAAGGAGAATTAAGCCACTGTAAAAGGACTGTTGAATATTTGTTAGACTGGGATGGGCCAGCTGCCTTGGGTGAGACGCCAGTGATCTGGGCTGCTGAAATCCATGGGAAAATTCAGGGTCCAGGTCCAGGTCCTGGTCCCATCAGAACAAGTGGAATGATAGCGTGTACAGTACTTTGCAAACCTTAAAACCCTATAGTACATATGCTTTGTTCTTGTTTAGTAGATTTGTCGTGTCCAACTCTCTGTGACCCATTTGGGATTGTCTTGGCAAAGATACTGGAGGGGCTTGCCATTTCCTTCTTAGGAAATTTTACAGATCAGCTCATTTTACAGATCAGGAAACTGAGACAATCAGGGTTAAGTGACTTGCCCAGGGTCACACAGCTAATAAGTATCTGAGGCTAGATTTGAATTCAGGAAGATGAGTCTTCCTGACTCCAGGCCTGGCACTTTATCCACTGTGCCACCTAGCTGCCCTAGCATAAATGCTAACTTCTCTTATTCTTACTCTGTACTACTTAACTAGAGGAAAGTACTTGGTAACCGTTAGCTCCTATGTAAATGTAATTAGTACCTAACATAACACATTAAGCCATTAGCACCATAGCAGAGATAAGGTTAATAAAACTGAGTTTGAAGAGATAAGATGGCATACTGCAGAATTTATGTGGGGGGGGGTGGAGCAAAGAAGCAATGGGTGGGATGCAGCATTGGGGTCTATGGGCTTTCAAGTGGCAAATATAAGGGCAGTTGGTATCAAATAGGGCTTGAGCACCCTGCAGTGGGCATGGGAAAGTTCTGTAGACAAATTTCTCCTAACCAATTGTGCCTTGGGCCCTAGGTGGGCAACCCTAACCAGGGCTAATCCTTCTCCAGCTCTCCCAGTGCACATAACAGAGAGGGCACAGTGTGTGGTGTGTGTGTGTGTGTGCGTGTGTGTGTGTGTGTGTGTGTGTGTGTGTTCAGCTTGTTGTATTCTCCCGCTTTGGATTGTTCCCCACCTTCTTATTTCCCTTTTGATGTTCCTGGAGAGAATGGTTTCTTAACTTAATGACCATTGGGAAAGAGCAAATAGCTATAGATGGTGGTCAAGACTGCTAATGAAGCAGGTTTTTCTCCCTTCCAGTTATATCTATATAGTAAAACCATCTTCGAATACAATCAGCAATGATGACCAGATGTTGTAGATTGCTTTATGCAATGTAGCTTAAAGAAAGCTTAAAAAAGTCATTTTTATGACTTGGAAAGGAGATATTCTGCCCTGTAAAGAAAAACAGCCCTGAAAGACTTAAAAACTAATCAACACAATGACCAAGCTGGATTTGGGGAGACCATTGATGACAGAGAGGTGACGGATGAGCTCAGGGTAGTAGGATGAGACATACATTTTTGAACACTGCCAATGCGGGGATTTCTTTTGTTTGACTTGAATATTTGTTACAAGAGGTTTCTTTTTCTTTTAGATGGGGGTGGGGAGAATGGGTCGGAGAGAATGGGAGGGAAGGAAAATGTTTATCAACTGAAAAAGAAAATAAAACAGACATATCATCAAAATTAGTACAGGTCCTCTGACTTTGGTTTTCTTTATCATATAAGAAATACACAATAGTTTACCCAGTCTGTCAATATTTTTTCTTTCATTATTAAAGGGTTTGAACCCTGTATATATTTAAGCAAGCTGAAATTTCATAGAACTTTTCAGATTTACATAAATCTTAATTGGAATCAAAGTTTTTTTCTACTTAAAGAAAGGTCACTTAGCCAGAAATGGGTGCCCCCAGGCTGGCTACATCACTAGAACCCTTTCCATGGAAAAATCCCACTTGTGCCCTGGGTCAGAACATTTCATCTGTGTATCTGGGCTCTGTTCACCCTCACACACCATGTCTGTCTTTCAGAGTTAGGGAATACTCAGCTCTGGCTCTGATGAGGCTGAGGGGAGAGGCAGTGTTTAAGAGGATCCACCCAGCAGGAGATCCAGCAGCAGGTGGGTGGTTCCCCCGGAAGTGGTATCAGGGTTTCACCAGAGGCTCTGCAATATGAACAGAGCCAGTGTTCCAGTTCAGCTTATTTACCCTGTGTCCGAATCACACCCCACAGTTTTATTTTTGGAAGAAAATTCAAGAGACACACAGAGTAACCTACTGAATGAGAAGTTATAAGTGGCTAGGCTTTCCCTGTTCAGCAACGGAGCCCTCAGGCTGGAAATTCTTGTTTTTTTACTGGCTGGGTGGGGTGTCCAGTCTGGTCAGCAACCCAGGCCTAATGGTAGGCAACAGTGATGGCCTGTTTCAAAAGACCTGATGTTGATTAAAGGGTTGACAAAAATCTCTCAATTTGATTCAATTCAGTTAAAAAAAAAAACAAAAACATTTATTAAACACCTACTGTGCATAGGAGCAACCAAGTACAGTTGTTTTTTTTAAGTGTTGGAACTGGAGTCAGGAAATACTTGAAAAGTCTTTGAAATGTGATAGACCCTCCGTTAGGACCCAGGGGCACCACGCCCCGGGGCCTCTGGCTCCGCTTCCCCTAACGGCTGTTACAACACCCTGGGTGAAATCCTCAAGGGTGGGGTGCAACATCCTGCTCTGTAAATAACCTGACCTGTCTTCCCGGCACTCCCCCCAGACCCTGTTCCCTTCCCGGCACTCCCCC